AAACAGGACCAGGATTTATCTCAGTGTCACTGTGCCTGCCTCAAAAGTGCCAGGTCCTGAGTTTGATTCCCAGTACCAACAAAACAAAACACTCAAAAACAATTAGATTCCTCAAAATAAAAGGCCAATAAAAAAATGGGCAAGTGAAATGAACAGACACTTCACAAAAAAAGTACAAATAGCCAATAAATCCATGAAGAAATGTTCAACATCTCTGGCTATTATAGAAATGCAAGTTAGAACAATACTGAAATTTCATTTTATCCCAAACTTGGGAATGGAGCTGGGAATGGAGTTCTGTGTGAAGTCCCTGTGTTCAATCACCAATCCAAGAAAGAAAGAAAGAAAAAAAAAATACTTGGAACATTCTTGTACTAGTCTTTTGGGAAACATTTGTTTTCAATGCTCTTAGGTGAATGCCTAGGAATGGAATTCATGGGTCATAGGGTAGATGTATGTTTAACTTTATAGGAAACTCCTAAATGGTTCTTCAAAGTAATTATACTATTTTATATTTCCACCAGCAATGTGTGAGCTCTGTCTCTAGATTCTCACCAATACTTGGTATAACTACTCTTTGCTGTTAGCCCTTTTAAAGAGTGTGAAATAGAATATCATTGTGGTTTTAGTTTGCATTTTCCTGATGTCTAATGATTTTTAGCAAATTTTTTATGTGGGCTTTTCTGGCCATCTGTAGATCTTCTTTTCTGAAATGTTAGTCAAATCTGTGACATGGGGAGCTGGGACCAATAGTTTGTGCCTATAGTCCCAGATAGGAGGCTGAAACAGGGAGATCTCTTGAGCTTAGGCATTTGAAGCCAGACTGGGCAACATAACATTTTCTCCCAAAAGAAAAGAGGAGGGCCAGGGATTTAGCTCAGTGGCACCACTCCTGTCTTGCAAGCACAAGGTCCTAAATTCAATCCTCGGTATCAGGAAAAACAAAAGAGAGAGAGAGAGAGAGAAATTGGCATTGGAAGATTAATGATGCAATCATGGAAGGGGTTTCTTCAGCAGAGTATGGTAATTTACTTTTTCTATAGAAGATTGAGTGGGATTCTAGTGAGGTGCTGTAAGGGGCTTCCCTCTGCCTCTCCATTGGCCATGAGCACCCAAGTGCCCAGCCCTGCCTGCCTTCTGGGGCTCCCACTTCAACCTAAGCCATACATGCTGACGCCCCATTTCCCTCACCTAGACTGCAGTGAGCCCTCACCTCCTACTTCCTGGCCTAGAAATCAGCTCAATTATTTCCCTGAGCTGGCAGATAAGTAAACAAACAAATGAATAAATCAACAAGAACCCAAAGCATCAAGACCTGGGGGCAACGCATCATGATAATAACCGGGCATATGTGGGAAGCATGGAGGTTTATGACATGTTTTTGTAGATAATTTATGCTTATCTTCAAAACAAAGTCGTGGGGCATCATTATCAGTGCCACTTACAGAGGGGGAAATGAGGGCTCAGGGAGGTTGCAAGAGTTGTGCATGCTCCTCCTCTGCAGCCCGGGCTGGGACTCACAGGTGACACCACACCCAGGCTCTGCCATAGCACAGGTGGGTGGGGATGAAGACGGGGAGTGGGCCAGGGAGCTGGAGACCCCAAACACTTCACCCCCAGGGTGTCATCCCCGCCTAACCACAGGCAGCCCTCTTGCTGGTGGATCTGAGGAGCCCTTCATGGACCCCACCAAAATCTTCTTCCTTGAGCACAAGTGCTTCGGTTTCCCTTATCCTTCATCCTCTCCTAGTTAGGGTGGTGCTTCTTCTTTGGGGAAGTGGTGATTTTGAATTTTTGAGTCAGGGTCTCACTATGTAGTCCGGGCTGGCTTTTGACTCAGCAATCCTTCTGCCTCAGCCTCCCCAGCCACTGGGATTAGAGGTGTGCAGCACCTGTGGCTACTCTTGACACTGCAAAGTTAAGAAGTTCTTTGGGCAGTGCTCCTACCTGCCCCACTGAGGCAGCCTGACTGGGAAACCTGTAACTATAGCTAAGGACATTTCAATGATGGAGCAAACAGGCACCCTCTCCCCTCACACTGCCCTTGTCAATATGAGAACAACTGGCAACTAGGTATTTAATTTAAATTCTGGGCCTGCCCTTGGTGAAGGACTTCTCCTGTTTGCTAATCACAATGGGGAGGAGAAAATGCACTTGAAAGCCACCCTAGGACCCATGACTGCTGGACATGGCAATCCATTCCTGCAATCCTAGCTACTTGGGAAGCTGAGACAGAAGGATGGCAAATTCAAGGCCAACCTGGGCAACTTAGCAAGACTTTGTCTCAAAATTTCAAAGCGTAAGAGGCAGGAGGATAACTGTGAGTTCAAGGCTGGCCTGGGGTACGTAGTGAGTTCAAGACCAGATTCTTGTGAGACAGAGCTGACGTTTAACCATCCAGTGGGCCAGTGGAGTGTAGGAGTTGAGAGTCAGGCATTGTAACAAACCTAGGTGGTACCTTGTACTGGTGATCTACGGAGCCCACTCCACAAGTTCAGTGCATCTTAGTCACATTATCATTTTCAATGGAGAAAATAGAAAGCAACAAAAAGCACTATGGGTTTACTTTACTCATTGTTCATTTGCATTTGGCAATAAGTTGCCTGGCAAGTCATTGGCTCAGAGCGCTGTGTGAAAAGCATCAATTATGGAGTTACACACACCTGGGTTCAACCCTGGCTCTACCTCAGGCTAACTTCCTGTCCTTGGCAGTTTGTGGGACTTCTCTGAGTCTCACTTTCCTCAAATCTAAAACAACAACACTTAATTCATGGAGCTATCGGAGAACTGAGTAATAACAATGTCCAGGGGAAACTGGCATTTGAAGGGCATCACATTTTCATTTGTTGTCTCAGAGTAAACAGAATAACTGGCATATTTGAAAAGAATTATTTAAGTTGCAAAGGGTCTGGACTTTAAAGTCCTTGTATGTAGAAGGGCTCAGAGCTCCACTTCTGAAATCTTGGAAGGAAATAAAATTTGCTTCGTTTTCAACAGCACTTTAAATGCTTTATTAATAGCTATCTTTTCCAGAAGCATCTGGGGAGAGCACCAGTCTCCACCCCACACTCTTTTAATGTTTAATTCTTTCCCTATTTCTTCTTCCTCCTTTCTGGAACTTTCTCACTGCACTTAAGCCTAGAACATCCCTACCCTTCCTCCCTGAATGCTAAGTTTGGAATGACTTCAAGGCAGCCTTTGCTGCCAGCAAGAAAGCACAAGTTTCAAACATGAGTGCCCAGAGACACAGCAAAGGTCTGCTCCAGTGGGCGTGGTCTTCTAAGAGCTGCAGCCATGTTGCAGGAGCTGGAAAGTCATTTGTTTTGGTGCCTTTGACTTCCTGTCTCCTGGTGGATACAGGAGGGATTATGTACAGATTTAGAAACTTCTCAAACTTGTGGAAGGATGTTGGCCATCTTCTTGCCCTCTGGGAGATGTGCTTTAACTATTTCAAGAATGTCCTCCCCGAATCCGGTGTGGTGGCCCAAACTGGTAATCTCATCACTTAGGAAGCTGAGGTAAGGGGATCACCTAGAGTTCAAAGCCAGCCTGGGATACAAAGTGAGGTTCAGGCCAGCCTGAACTATGTAGCGAGACCCTGTCTCAAAAAGCAAAACAAACAAACAAAAGTCCTTTAAATTTCCTGTTTCTTGGGCTGCACAAGATGTTTCATCTCTTCCTTTGGCCGCGAGCAAGAAGAAAGATATTTATCCCTGAAGAAATGTTCATCCCTAGCCGAATCCTCTTTTCCCATCTGCTTAGAAAGTGACTACCCTAGTGGCTACTCCTGGCTTTGAACTGCTCTCCCAGAGGAGGGACCTGTTCTGTATCAGAGGTGAAATTGGAGAATGGAGCCAAGCTGACCGGTTGAGGACATGTGACTTGTAGTTTGGTGATCATGTGACACAGGAGTGTGGGGGGGTCCACATTTCAGGCAAACCCCCAACCCAGAAACAAAAGCTGCCAGTATTTCCTGTTTATTCATCTTTTAAAGAGTAATCTTAGTGCTACCAATAGAGAGTCCCTGGGGACTTTTTTCTAGGTTCTTGGGGTCACAAAGAGAGCACTGACACAACACACAAGAGGGAATAAAAACACACATTTATTGAAGGCAGAAGAGAAGAATGCTCTGCAGAGTGAGAGTAGACTGCAGAAAAAGTGTACAGCAACCCCTAGGATAGGGGAAAGTAGTCTTTTGTATCCAAAATTCCTCATTTATCTTTCTTTTATGTAAACAAGGCATTGGGGCAGTTAAGCTATAAAATGCTCACTTGGCAACACGCCATATATAACTGTCCTATCAAAAAACTCATCTGGCTTCTAGTTACATGTAAATGAAGGATCAGAAATAGTGTCTTTTGATTGGCTGTGTCCATATGCAAATGAAGGATTGAAAAGAGCATCTTCTAATTGGTCCTGTGAAAAACACCAGATTTAAGTGAAAGGACTAAAAGTAGCAAATTTCTGATTGGTCCAAAGCAGCATGTTTCTGATTGGCTCTGTGTGCGGTGGCAATGGTTCACTGTATTGGGAGTGTCCTTCACCCTGTTGCCCTGTCTTATTAGCACAACTTTAGGTATCCAGAAACAATCCACCAAATAGATGCCTCCAGTGCATCCTGGGGGTTCATTACACAAATTAATTACTTGTGGTTAATAAACACGTTGAAGTCCTTTCATTAAAGGGGCCGCCTAAATCCAAAGTACTATTATAATCAGGCCTAATGAGGTCAGTGGTTTTAAAGAGAGGGCTTTAAACCATATATAAAGCTCCTTTACCAACCTTTGGTACAGGAGGAGGGTAAGAGGAGGCAGGTGAGTCTGCATGCTGGCGTGTGACCGCTTCCTCCACAGGTTGCTGGGTTGGAGAAGAGGCACGGCGACCTGGTGACTAGTGGTTTCTCCAACTGTTATACCTGTGTCATAGGATGAAGGCCATCACCCTGTACCACTCTGTAAATCTTTTTCTTTTTTTCTTTACATCCTACAGTTTGCTGCTACAGAAGACTTTCTCAGAGGGAGAGGGGACATTTTCTCTGGGAAGTTGCAAACAGGTAAGTGCTGGCTTTCTCGTATCTTATAAACCTTGTAAGCTGTCTTTAGAATGAAACCAAAAATAGGGTACAAGAAACCTCTTTTAAGTGTATGGGAGTAATGTACATAAGATGTGGATGGGTGGAGTCAGGACGAACTGGGTTGGGAGTTTACACTTTGAGCTAGAAAATGGGTATTGAATTTTGGAAATGATTCTGCACTTTTTAAAAAATAATCAAAATAACATTCATAAAGCAAGTTTTGAAATTAATGAATTTCTATTTAAAATCAGAACAGGTCCTGGAGGATAAGATTTACCACCATGCTGCCCTCCATGGTGTTTGTGGGACTTACTGCCCTCATCGGTGAGTCATCCATAGCATTTATCACTGTTCACTGGGTGTCAAAATACATTTTTTTTTTAAAAAAAAGCAATGATCCCATGCAGTGGAAGAGTGGGTTCTTCTGAACTGCGTGGCCAAGAATCAACTGCTTATTTCTATAAATAAGAGTGTATTCTTCTTGTCAAGCAGATGGAGACATGAATGGAAATTTAAAATAATAGCAATTGATCTTCTCACTTCCTGTCTGACAGTGCAACTATGCAGTTTTGAACCTTTGTCCTGTAATGAAGGTTGGTAGAAGAGCTTCAGATATGGTCCGGTGCTCTTGGGAGGAAATACTATGAAAAGAAGAATCATTAATGCCAAGCAGTAGATAAGAGTCAAATGTATACATAGAGAAAAAAAATCCACTAGATTTGGGGGATCCTGCTCAGAGGTCCACCCAGAATGGCTTTCTGGAGAGGATATGAAGTCAGAGTCCTCGGTGATTACTGTGTAAGGGAAGAGCCTGCTGTCTGGGAGCAATGATCAGTAAAAGACACAGAAAAACACAAAAAGTGTTTGGGACACAGTGAGCAGGTCAGTGTGACCAGAACAGGAAGAGGGTACTTCTAAGGGGAATGCTGGACAGGCGTAGTGGCACACACCTGTAATTCCAGCACCTGGGAAGCTGAGGCAGAAATATTGCCATGAGTTTGAGGCCAGTCTGGGCTACATAGCAAGACTCTGTTTCAAGACACACATAAATTAAAACAATAAATAAATAAATAAATGATGGTGGCTGGAGGCTGGAAACATAAGTTGGTGAAATGATAAGAGATCTGAAAAAGCAAAGGTTAAACCTTTATTCTAAGAAGAACAAAAGAGTCATTGTAAGCAATAGTCAAGCTGCCTTATTTATGCAGTGATGAATGAGAAGAAAATGTTTCTAAAATGTTCAATTCTAAATTCGGAAAAGAGAGGCTACCTAAAAGCAATAATTTCCAGTTTCTATGATCAAAAGCAAGGCAACACAATCTTACATTTTACTGATTTCTAATTGCCAGGTAGTAGCAGAGTTATACTGCCAGCAGATTAATTATGAGTTTCTGAACTAGCTGTGTACTACTGAAAGATGACTCTAATTGTAAAAGGGCTTATTGTGTTGAGTACACTATAAATGCCAGGAAGTCATAGTTACACTGTATTGTTTTATTTGTTTGCTTTTGTTTTTGCACTGCTGGGACCAAATCCAGGGTCGTGTCATGCAGAGCAAATGAGCTGCTCCCAGCCTTGTACTGAGCTATGTGGGGACTAAGGATGATTTAGGGACCAGGGTTCCCATACAGTACTTGTGCAATTGTTCCCCCAGATATTTTGGATACATGAGTGGTTGAATTCCTAGAAACAGAACCAGCAGACAAGCAGGGCTGAATGTGTTTCCTACCCGCATTGTGAGCACATGGGGAGGCCGCCTATGCGATGGTTTCTGCTCCATGAATCTCATGGAAGCCCACACTTCTTAGACAGCTTAGGGGCTTTGTGGGTTTCTGCTACTTTTATCGTTTAGGCAGACTTTCTCAGTTTCCTCAGTGTGCACGGTAGTTTCCACTGTCTAACTTTCTAGTCCATTCACAATCCCTTTTGTTGTTTGTGGATGGAAGAGAAAAGGTTGGGCTTATATTTTTATTTGTATTGATGTTTTGCTTTTTAAAAGCTTACATACTTTTAAATTTTTAGTTTTTAATCTTTTTTTTGCTTTTTTTTAGTTTTTAATCTTTAGAGTTACTTTCTTTATAAAATAAACATTATAGGGGAAAATTCCATTTGGTTTTTTTCCATAAGTTTTAGATTTTTAAATAATCTTTATTAGTAAGTGTAGTACATGACAATTACATTCATCATGGGGAGTTGGTACATGTACATAACACATCTTAATTCTTTTTACTTCCATTTGTTATATGTCTAATAAAATATACAGTCAAGTGCTCTAACACTGAGCTGCAGTCCTAGCCCTGATTTTTTAAAACTCAGGACCTTGTGCTTGTGAGACAGACACGGCACCGCTGAGCTAAATCCCCAGCCCACTTTGTAACATATTTTACATCAAATATTTTAACAAAGTTGGTTATAAGTTTATGAACCAGGCATGGTGGTGCACGCCCATGAACCCAGCACTTGGGAGGCTGAAGCAGGAGGATCCATCACTGCTAGTTCAAGGCCAGCCTGGGCTCAGAATCAGTTCGAGGCCAGTGTCTCAAAGACCATGTCTCAAAAAAAAAAAAAAAGACTTCAGCAAATATATTTGAGACCTATATGAGTTGATTGCCATAACATTTTGAGTGGTGCTTCAGAATTAAGAGCTGTATTTAAAGCACAGCACGGCAAAAAGTGTTTGGAGAAGGTGAAAAGGATGCACTCTTTTTACTGAAGAGCCAAGAGTGGTGAAATAGGGCAGAAGGATGAAGTCTAGGGCCCTGATCTTTGGTTTAGTAGTGTTTTTTGGTTTTGTTTCTAGTTTTTTAATAGCAGCTCAAGCAATATTTTCTCACAGGCTTCATGCAAATTATCCTTCTGCCTCCCAGGCATGAGCTGGGGCTCCTACCCTTTCCCTCACGCACTGCGGCCTCATCTGCACCCCCGCCTGTACCATGGCTGCTATGGGGACATCATGACCATGGAGACCTCCGGGGTGCGCTGTGACATCTCCAATCTGCTCAGCTGCGGTGAGTGGGAAACAGCAAATGTTCAGCCTCTGCCTTTCATCAGGTTTTTCCTTAGGAAGTAACTTAATTATGAAAGATATCATCATTATAACAACAATTATATCAATATTTAAAATTAAAGAGAATATAATTCAGCAGGGTAGGGTAGTGCTAGTCTGTAATCCCAGCGCCATGGGAGGCTGAGGCAGGAGGATCACAAATTTGAACCCAACCTGTTCAAATTTGAGCTCAGCAACTTAGCAAGACCCTGTCTCAAAAAATAAAAATAAAAAAGGGGCTGGGGATGTAGCTTAGTGGTTTGTTACCAGGCTTTGAGATGCTGGGATCTTCTTCTAGAGGTGATTTCTAGGTTCTTTCTGTTCCAAATAAAGAATGGAACAAAACAGCATAAACATTGGCAAAGGTTCACATTTATTAAAGGCATGCACAAGCAGGCTCTGCAGAGTGAGTTTGGGCCAAGCAAAAGTAGGAAAAAGGTGGGGGGACACACCCTACAGCTAGGGTGGGCTATCATGAAGAGACAGGATAGCAGAGGCTTAATGGCCACATTACCCCATGAAAGTGTCACGTGCCGTTCAGTCAAAAACATGCCCGCATCCCATGTAGGGCTTTAGAACTGTTCTGTGCGTGTGTCCTGGGATTACTAGGTCACACCTACTTTCTCAGTTTTAGCTCACCCTAACTACTGCCTCAGGTTCAATCACCAGTACAAAAAAAAAAAAAAAGTGAGAGAGAGAGAGAGAAGAAACAAGCAAATCATTTCTTTTCATTTTCCCACATCCTTTTGATTTGAGGGTTTTTTAGGGGTTTTTTGTTTTGTTTTGTTTTGTTTCTTTTTTGGTACTCGGGATTGAACTTGGGACCTTGTGCTTTCCAGGCAGATGTGGCACTGCTGAGCTAAATCCCTGGCCCTTGATTTGGTTTTATGAGACAGGGTCTCACTGGGCAGTTCAGGCTGCCCCTGAACTCGCTGTGTAGCCCAGGCTGGTCTCAAACTCATGGTGATCCTCCTGCCTCAGCCTCCTGAGTGCTGGGATTACAGGCGTGCACCACCACACCCAGCTACATGCATATTTTAAGCAATCCCCTGCCCTTTGTACTCCTGCTCCTTGGTGACCCTGCTCCAAAAGGCTTCTTCCTGATGCGAGACCCTCTAGGAGCCACTGCCCCTCTCTGAACAGATCTGAGCACTGAAGCTGAGCAGGAAGGACAGTTGTCCCCACCCCACAGAGCTAGGTGCTGGCTGATCAGGGTTACAACTCAGATGTGTGGTTCCTGGCCTAGAGTTGTCCCAAAGCACAAAGAGCAAGGAGACTCAGAGTGGAAACAGCACCAGCCAGGAGCCGTGGACCAGTCTGGTTTTACAGTCAGGGCTGAGAAGGGAGTATCAACATGTTTGTCCAGGCTGTGGGCAGCAGTCAGGGGCTGTGGCTAATTTAGTAAGCTTTGAAAAAAGGGCCCTGAGAGCTGGGTCTCGTGGCACGTGCCTGTAATCCCAGGGATTGGAAGGCTGAGGCAGTAGGACCACCGTGAGCTTGAGGCCACCCTGGGCTACATAGTGAATTCAGGGCCATCCTGAACTACACAGTGAGACCCTGTTTCAAAACACCAGAATTCCAAAAAAGAAAGAAAGAGAAGAAAGGAAAAAGGGCCCCCTTCCAGAATGAGGGAAGCAGTCTTTTTTCTGTTGCCTAGGGATCCGAGGTTCTGAAATGTTTGCCGACATGGATCTGAACGCCATAAGGATCTACCAGACTCTGATCAAAGAAGTGGGGCAGAGGTACTGCGTGGACCCTGCGCTCATCGCTGCTGTCATCTCCAGAGAGAGCCACGGGGGTGCTGTGCTGCAGCGTGGCTGGGACCACAGGGGGCTGAGGTTTGGCCTGATGCAGGTATTTAGGCTTCATCCTTCCTCGCGAAAGCTCAGCCCCAACTGGAAACTCAACTGTAGATCTCCCAGGCCCCTGGGTACAGCTTCTTCACGTCACTTGTCCTGGGATTTCTGTGACCCTTCTGATACTTCATGACAGGGTTATCAGTTACTGGATCTCTCCTGAGGTGTTTCAGATGGCCAGGCAGGGTGGCTACACCTGTCATCTCGGCACTCTGGGAGGTTGAGACAGGAAGATCACAAGTTTGAGCCCAGCATGGTCATTTAGGGACTTAGCAAGACCCTGTCTCAAAATAAAAAACAGGCTCAGGGTGTAGCTCCTGCAATGGCCCTGGATTGAGTTCTCTGTACAAAAACAAAACAGTGTTTTGTAGGAACCATAGTTTCAATTCTGCAATAAGTAATACACAACATACTTCAGCCGAGAGAATTTTATAAAAGGCACTATTACAGGTATTTCTTGAGGTTCCTGAAGTAGCACATTTCACCCATGTGTATTGAAACACATGATCAGGCCCTACTTGGACTTTTTCCTTTGGATAAACTGAAAAAAAGGATCCAAATTACCTGGATATTTGCTTTCAGAATCTGTTACATTGTGTATAGAAGCACAGACTTCAGGCTTCTGAGTTAGGAACCAATTTTTATTTGAATAATTTGTAAAAAAAAAAAAATTAACTACAGATGCTTAGACATAGGTTGGTAATGGGTTTGAAACAGCTTTTGCTCTTCCTGCTCCTCCTCATCCTATTCCTCTTCTTGAATTTTAGCATGCTTAGCTAAAACTACACCCGTCTACTTCTCCCAAGCCTTCCTTTGTTTCTCCCTCTTCACTGTCTCAGACAGGATGGGAAAATTGACTTTGGGGAGATAAAGGAAAGGTGCCGAGGGCAATATCCAGGAATCTGAGCCTGGGAAGAGAAATTCCGAATAGCAGAGAGATGGTGGTTCTGATGCTGATGTTATTTGCTTTTTCCAGCTTGATAAAAGTGTTCATCCGACTGGTGCCTGGGACAGCAAAGAACACCTTTCGCAGGGTGTGGGGATTCTAGCAGAAAACATTAAGGTGATCCAGAGAAAATTTCCCATGTGGAACATGGATCAGCACCTCAAAGGTAGGCGTGTATTTAGTGCTTCATTAAATGAGCAGCAAAGAGATGAAATGGTGGATGTGCTCCTAGCCTCCCAGGGAACCTCCCTGCTCAGCACCTTTGCCAGCCTCTTTCCCTTTCTACAGCCTGTTGGGCTCCTATTGCATCTCTGTCAGTTATTAAAGCCTTCGACTGTTGCCCTGAGAATAAATGCAGTAATTTAAGAGAATGGTCACCTTCTTCTCAGGCTTTCCCAAGTGCAAGAAGATGTTAACCATTTCCCAGAGTGTTTGAGTAAGATTTCACCCCGTGAAATCCTCAGGGCTTCAGGTATCCAGAAAAGCGCAGATGAGAATCTCAGCTTGGCAGAATGCAGGCTCTTCCAGTTTAGCATTTTCCAGAGGGGAGGAACTCATCATTAGTTTCCTTGTCTGCTCTTTGTTCTGCGCTTTCTATGTCTTTGGTGACACCATGAATGTAACCAGTTGTGCCAGATTGCTTTCTTAGGCTCACTGGCCGCTCCTCTCTACCCTGGGCCCTCCGGCTCCTTCACTAGCCTCCTGTGGACCCACAGTGTTCAGGTCCCTCTCCTCCTTCTGGCTTCCCAGTCTGAACTCAGAACAAGCAAGGCCCATGAAGGCAGGAATCTAGACTAGGACCTTTTTCTTTTGACATGAGAGCAGGATACCATTGTGTTAAATACATAAATAACTATTTGCAGATAAAATTCTAGGGTAAAACAGCACCTGCATGTGCACACATCCCTACAAGGAAATAAATACGTGTTGGTACCTTGCCCCCGGGGCAGCATGTAGTAGCTATCTGAAAACATTTTATCTTTTCTTGAGTACATATTTGTGGTACGTAATGATTATGTTTATCACAGGGGTTGGTACATGTACATGATGCATCTTAGTTCTTCTTTTTTTCACTCCCCCTCCTCTTCATCCTTGATTCCTCCAACTCTTGGTCTCCTTCCCATTTACCAAAGCTCATTTTTGTCTTTTCCCCTATTCAATTCTTTTTTCTTTCCATTCCCTTTCCCCACTTCCTTCTCCTCTCCCTCCATTTCTTGTTCTTCCGTCCATTTGAAAAACATCTCCCTACTTCCTGTTTACCTATCTTCACTTGTGAGTGGGGCTCCTCCTCTGTTTTACTTTTTAAGAGAATACTTATTGAATACGTGAATGAATACATGATGGAACTCTTGAATAAAGGAGATAATGTTACCATCTCAGACATCAGATTTGCTGAACATCTGGTTCTGCCAGCTCTCAATTACATAAAAAGCAAATATGACTCTTGAAGCAGGAAAAACCAGAGTTAAAAAGAGAAAGAAAGAAAACAAACTGGAAGCTTGCTAGTGACCCTGGGGGAGCATATCCTTTCAGGAAGGGAGGCAGGGGGAGGACTCGTAGCTCATCTCTACCAACAGTTCGTGTTGAAGTCTAAACCTCTGTGCTTCATTTCAGGTGGTCTCTCTGCCTTTAAGTCAGGAACAGAAGCCATCGCTGCCCCGGAAGATATTGACTCTGACTATGTGAATGATGTTATTGCCCGGGCTCGCTTCTATAAAATCCATGGCTTCTAGGCAAAGCCACATCGGAGGTCATTCAGATGGTTTCTTGGTGACAGTTTGATACCAATGAGTTGTACTCAACACTGGTAAAGATAAGATGAAAATTATGAAAGAAAATTCATTTCCCAATTTTCTTAATGAAAACAAGCATTGGAAAAAGAAAAAGAAAAAGAAAAAGAGGGGCTGGGACTGTGGCTTACTGGGATGCTTGCCTAGCATGTGCAAGCTCCAGATTTGATCCCTAGCACCACAGAAAAAAAGAAGGAAGGAAGGAAGCTAGGAAGATATTCAGTTCACAGTATGGTTCCTGTGAGTGTACACAGGCTAACATGCAATTGCTTTATAGTCTATGTGGATATGATGGTGGTGACACCTACATATTCCAGCACAGCCTCTTTTCTTCATGATTTCAGTGCCTATGTACACCATGGTTTAAATGCCCACCTATGCCCACCCTACCAGAATTACTACTGAGAAGTTAAGTGAGCTCGACCTGAGTACTTTCCAAGTATCTGCCCAAAGCAGGAGGGCTTTGCTTATGAGAATTTCCTGGCTCATCAGCCAGTCCATCTGTAGACAAGGGAAGAGTCACAGATGGAATTCCAGCCCCATAACTGAGCACTAAAAGAGTGACCTTCAAGTGGTAGACACCATGCCCTTCGGGCCCACACCAACCTCCAAGGTGTCTTGTTTGCAGAAGAGCCACACACTGACTTCTTTTTTCCTGTTTTCAGTATTCACTGTCAAAAAACTCTTTCTCGAGGTCTGCTGCCCACAAGATATGGCCGAAGATAACCATATGACACTTAGATTAATTATGGTTCTTTGCTCACAAGTGAAAAGTGGACACTTGAAATTTTAAGCAATAAAATCACTAGAAGGCTCACAGAACCAACCAAGGACATGAAGAGAAACCAGGCAACTCTAGCCAGGTGTGATAGAGTATGCCTGTAATCCCAGCACTCAGGAGGATGAGGCAGGAGGATTGCCACACATTCAAGGCCAGTCTGGACTATGTGGTGAGTTCAAGACCAGCCTAAACTATATAGTGAGAAAAAGAAACAAGAAAGAAAGAAATCAAGCAAGCGAAACCAGGCAACTCAGGTTTGGGGAACAGCAGGCAGTTAGCCACACCTGGTAGCATGAATTATCACCTTCAGTGCACAGGCGAATTCCAAAGCCTGCCTCTCACAGTGCCAGAGAAAGAATCTAGTTGATTTAACTTAGGTCAAATACACACCTGCCCCTTGGTTGCTCTGCTCTTTGGTTTTGCCCAGGCTATCTATAATGGAGAGAAAGAGATAATTCTCTAGGAGAATTCTCTAGGAGTGCTGTTTATAACTCTTACTTGCATAGTCAGGAGAACACACAATATGTTGTAGTATGAAGGTCACAAAGCCCCCGCCAATGTGGTGGGCTTTTGGGTTCCTTCAATGGGTGTTTCTTCTTGTCACTTCTTTTTCTGAGAAGGGCTCAAAATCATAGCCACCTACCTGGGAGCTACCTTGGGGAAAGCCAAGTAAACCCTTCTTTATGCAGCCACCTCCCACCCTTGCCTGATTTGATCCCAGGAGAAGCAGGAATCTCTGTTGCCTTGGAAAGAACCAACAGCGAGTTGGTGTGGCCGCATAATCATCTTTTGCAGCCAGCTGAATTAGCTGTTAAACATTTTTGATTCTCGTTCCTGCGTGTGGGCAATGTAGGACCTTCTTTAGAAGTTCGCTTTGCTCCACGACCATTTCCCCACAAGCATCTGCGCCACCTCATCACCAGCCCCTTTGATGTCACCATTACATTAAAATACATCCAGACAAGATAATTTTCAAGTAATTTGCAAAAAAAGAACTACTACACTGACTTAATCCTTGAACCTACTCTCCTGTTATTCTCTTTATGCCAGGAGATATCGGATGGGCGACTCCATTCCCAAGGTGTCTTAGTTTGCTTTCCCCAGATGCAGACCCTGACACAGGAAACTGAGGGCAGGTAATCTTAGAAGTACAGGGAATCTGGTATGAAGTGGCTGGTGATACAGGGAAGGGAAGGAAGCTAACAGAACATGCAGATAGTGGGCACCAGAGTTCAACCTTGCAGGAAAGATAAAAGGATTGGTGAAAAGCACATATGAGAACAGCTCTACATGAGGTACAGGAGCCAACAGACCTGTAGGTGCATGTGCGTGGGGCGGGGGGGGTGTGGGCTCTGTGATTCCTTGCTACTGTGATCTGCCAAGCATGCAGGCAGCACAGTTCTGCATTTCCAAGAACAAGAGGCCACAGGCACAGAGATGCAGATCAGCTGAGGGTTCTGAAGGTCCAGGGATACAGGAGGATACAGAGAGCATTTGCTTCACAAGGATTGGGTACACTTGGAGGCTGGGAACATCCCTCTGATGTTGCTTGCTTTCATGACTTTATCATGTGGTATGATCATCTGAAAGTAACACACAAGCCTCATGTGCCTTGATTCCATGCCAAGAGTCTTCATGCTCTATTAGAATGGCCCATTAGATATATTAGAACAGTCACAGTCTTATTTTATATTCCTGACTCTGGTTCAGCAGCTGATTCCCAGAAACTTGCTGAGCACAATATTAAAGATATTAGACTCAATGTGGCACCATTAAATATTCTGAAATCTTTAGTCATCCTCAATTTTCTTTATAATTTTTGGCTATAACCCCCTCAGGCATAATGAATTATTCCATAACTATACCTGACTGTGGAAAATATCACTTCTTTTAGTTGTGCAAAAATAGATTCTTATTGGACGATGAAAAGATTATCGTTTATTAAAAAGGCTATCTTTCCTCCAGTTTATATTTTTGGCCCCTTTATCAAAGATAAAATAGCTGGGCGTGTGGAGCATGCCTGTAATCCCAGCACTCCTGAGGTGGAGGCAGGAGGATCGCTGTGAGTTCGAGACCAGCCTGGTCTACACAGTGAGTTCCAGGTCAGTCTCAACTACATAGTGAGACCCTGTCTCAAAAAACCAAAAAAAAAAGATAAAATAGTTAATGTGCCTAATGTTGTTTTTGCACCTTCTATTCTGTACAATTGACCCTCATGTCTGTTTATGTGCCAGTATCATGCTGAGGTTTTTTAAAATCCCAGTAGCTGTAGTAGGTGTTGGGAAAACTGGTGGAAGATTGAATCTAGACTATATCTCTCACCATGTACTAAACTAAAATCAAAATGGATCAAAGAACTAAATGTTAAAACAAGCACCCTACTGAAAGACAAAATAGGTAAAACTTCCCCCACCCCTCTTCTCCTCTCCTCTCTCCCCCCTCTCTTTGAGACTAGGTCTTGCTATGTAGTTCAGGTTGGTACTGAACTCACTGTGTAGTCCAGGCTGGCCTCAAACTCATGGTGATCCTCCTGCTTCAGCTTCCCAAGTGCTAGGATTACAGGCAATGCACCACTGTGCCTGGAAAAATAGGTAAAACTCTTGATGTCATAGGCATAGGTAAGGTCTTTCTGAACAGAACCTTGGTTGTATAGGAAATAATTCTGAAAATCAACCAATGGGGTCACATCAAATTAAAAAGCTTTTGTGCAGCAACAGAAACAACAGAGTAAAAAGACAATTTACAGAATGGGAAAAATTTTGCCAGCTGTTCCTCAGAGGACTAATATCTAGAATAGATAAGGAATTTTTTAAAATTATACCCCTAAAACTAAAAGACCCAATAAAAAATGGGCAAGTTAAATAAACAGACACTTCACAGAAGAAGTGCAAATTGCCTACAAATATATGAAGCAATGCTCAACATCACTGGCCACTAGAGAAATGCAAATCAAAACATCACTGATATTCCATCTTACCCTAGAAAGAAAAGCCATCATCAAGAAATCTAATAATAGCAAAGCTTGGGAGACTGCGGGAAAAGGAACTCTTCTATACTGCCGGTGAGAAAGTAAATTAGTCAACCACTATGGAAACCAGCATGAAGATTCCTCAAAGACTGAAACTAGAAATTCTGTTTGACCCAAATCTGGGTCAAATACCATCTAGGTGTCTTCCTGAGTTAAAGACTTCATAGTACAGTGACCTATGCTTACTCATGTTTATAGCAGCACAGCTCATAATAGCTGAACTTTGGAAGCAGCCTATAAGTGCATCAATGGATGAATGGATAAAGAAAATGTATTTACACCCAATGGAGCACTACTCTGCTATAAAGACAAACTTGAATCATTTGTAGGAAAATAGATGCACCTTGAGACCATATTGCTAAGTGAAATAAATGAGATCCAGAAGTTTAAATATTACATACTTTCTCTTATATGAGAAGCTCAAATTATAAATAAAGAGCAAAAAAAAAAGATAACAAGAAGCAGGGAGAGGGATCTTTCTCAAATGGGAAGGAGATGAAGAGACAGAAGGAGAGGGAGAGGGAGGAGAGAAGGAGGGGATGAAAAAGGGAATTAAGCTGTGCTAGGTGGAGGCACCAACTCTACCCAAGGAGTATAGACATCATGTACTGTAAACATGTACTAATAAATAAATTTAAAAAAAAATATATATATATATAAAACCAGAGAAGGCACCTCTCTCAATAAGAGAAAGGAAGCTGTGTACAGCAAGTAATGTATAATATTAACCTATGTTAATAAAAACTTTTCTTATAAATAATATTAAAGTACTAGTGACATTGATGAAGCAAAGACAAAAAAAAAAGATCATCTTATAGTTTTCAAATGCAAAGGAAATCTAAAAGGTATTTCCCTGGCTGGACCCATTCATGATTTATATTCTCATCTTTCCTTCCTCTTGGCTATCAATGCCGCACATGCCTAGAGACCTGTGAAATAATAGAGCTGTACATTCAGTCTCTGAATCACTGTGCCTAGGAAATTCATGATATAAGTCTCAGCTTCTACACCTGTGACTTCCAATAATGCTTTTAGCACTGAAGGTCAAAGTCCAGTGAAGCACTGCTTACTTCCGTTTCACAATACTAGGTAGAGGAAATACCTCGCAGGCAAATGTCCATCTTCTTAATTCAATTAGGAAAAAGAGACACA